TTGCAGGGATGGGGATCCAGCTGCCAAGAATAACCCAGGCAGGAAAACAATGAGCTTCCCCCATCACTGGAGGTCTTCAGTCAGAAGCAGGGAGATGGGGATGTCGTGAGGAGTTTCTATGGGTTAGCCCAGATACCCTCTGACATCCCTTCTAGCTCTGATATCAGCATCTTCAGGCAGACCCCAGTCCTATCCCCTTCTGAGAGTTTTGGTTTTTTTTTTTTCACTCTTTCCAAGGGGCCTATACCTACAGGGCTGCTGGGGTAAGGGTGGAGTAGGACAAGCCCTTCTGTCTTTCCCAATGCCTCCAGCCCCTGTCTGACCTCTGGGGATTCCTGATACCCACAGATTCTCTTAGCCTTAGCATGTACGTCCCCAGTTGTAAGAATACAACTGAGACAAAGGTAGAGCTTTTCTTTTTTTTGGTTTTTGATGAGGCAATCAGGGTTAAATGATTTGCCCAGGGTCACACAGCTAGTAAGTGTCAAGCGTTTGAGGCTGGATTTGAACTCAGTTCCTCCTGACTCCAAGGCCAGAGCTCTATCTACTGAGCAACCTAGCTGCCCTAAAGGTAGAGCTTTTCAAAAAGTACTGTTAGCAACATAGAGGAAACAGAAAAACTTCCAAAGTACAAAAATGGCGACGGCCTTCTTTGTTCCTCACAAGCAACAATCACATCTCTCATTTTCGGCCCATGCACTTGGCAGTCTCCCATGCCTAGAATGCATCTGTGTATCAGTTCCATCCCCGGGCTCAACTTAAGGTCAGTCTTCTCCCCAAAGCATTTTCTGTTCTGCCCAACAGAGAGTGAACACTCTCAGATTTTCCTAGAGCGTTTTGACCTTTTTCTTTGCCCCTATCATATTCTATCTTGCATTATATTTATCTATGTACTAGAGGCAGCTAGGTGGCACAGTAGATAGAGTGCCTGGCCTAGAGTCAGGAAGACCTGAATTCAAATCTAGCCTCAAACACTAGCTATGTGACCCTGGGCAAGTCACTTAACCCTGTTTGCCTCAGTTCATCTATAAAATGAGCTGGAGAAGGAAATGGCAAACCACTCCATTATCTTTACCAAGAAAATCCCAAATGGAGTCACAAAGAGTCAGATGTCACAGAACAACAACAAAACATATACTACTCCTCAGTAGACTACGAATTTCCTGAAGGCAGGAATTATGGCAGCATGTTGTAATGTAAAAGCGCACTAGATCCTGAGTCAGAAATTCTGTGTTCAAATTCTGGCTCTGACCACTTGCTCGCTATGATCCCTTGGGTGAAATCACTTCACCACTCTCAGGCTCATGTTCCTTGTCTGGAAAGTGTGGTTGGCTATGGACAAGGTAACCTCTAAAGTCCCTACCAGCTCTAAATTTACAAGCCCATGAATTTTCATCTTTATGTCCCCATTGCCTAACATAGAGCCCTGCCTTCTATATACATTCTATAAATAAATGTCACAGGCACTAAATAAATCCCTGTCGAATTAAATTATCCTATAATCTAGGAAATGGCAAACCACTCCAGTGTCTTTGCCAAGAAAACTCCATGGCCAAAAGTCCAAGACTGAAAGACTGAACAACAGCTTATAGTCTGATGAGAGAAGCACAGTTTTTCAGGCTAACCGGAAAGGGCCTATCTAAGGGGCCTCTAGGCCTGTATACTCCCTACTAACAGTGGATGGGGGCTCTAGGGTCTGATGTGCCCCAACCAGGACTTCATCCCTCCTCCCTCCTTCTCATTCATTCACTTAACAAACTATTCAGTTTATGAGGTACTTGCGGCACCAAGACAATTGTCTTCAAGGGGTTTCTGTTTCATTAGGAGTATACAACATATATACAGGTAAGTATATACAAAGTACTTTGATGAGACAGGGAGCATTAGTGAGGGGAGGGCTACCTGATTTGAGGTCTGAAGGAAGCTTAGAATCCTAAGAAGTGAAGGAGTGTGCTCTAGACATGGGCCACAGCCTGTGCACAGCTAGGAGAGGGAGAATGGAGCTCCAGGAAGTTAGCAGGCTGTTTTGACTGCAACTTGGAGAAACAGCAAAATGGAGTAATGAGTCAAGAAAGGTAGATTGGAGCCAGATTATGGAAGACCCATCAGAAGAATCTTAATTTGATCCCTGAGGCAAAAGGCTTTTGAGCAGTGGGGTTGTGGTAGGGTCAAACTTGTGCCTTAGGAAGGGATTGTAACAGCTGTGGAGAGACTAGGGGATAGACCAGGCCACAGGTTCCCCACCCCTCGATAGACCAATTAAAGTGTCCATTGCAGTAGCCCTGGCAAGAATGATCAGGCAAATCCTGAACTAGGACCCAGTGAGTGAAAAGGAGACAGATTCAAGGTACATTGTAAAGGTAAAATCATTAAGATTGGACAACTGCTCCAGGAGAGGGAAGGAAGAAGAGTCCCGGATAACTCTGGTGATACCCTAGATAAAACAAGGAAGCCTGGGGAAGGGGCGGTTTAGGGGGAAAGGTAGGAAGTTCCATCTTGGACATAGTGAGTTTGTGATGTCTATGGACAGAGATGTCCAGCAGGCAGTGGATAACTGGAACTCAGGAGTAATATTAGAACTGAGAAGAGAGAATAGGACTTAATCAAGAGTTTTTTTGAAATATAAATATCCCTCTCCTAGTTCCAACTATAAGAACCCAGGAATTGGAAGGGCCCTTACATAATTTAATATAATTCAGTTTCATAAGGAAACTGCAGCCCAGAGAAGGGAAGTAATTTATCCAAGAATACACAGCAACTTAGAAGCAAAGCTGGTATTTTTAGGCTCCAAGGCTGCCCCTATTGGCTATTCCTATCTCATTCATTCATTCATTCATTCAAACACATCCTTCATAAAGTATAAATTAGTTCACTACCTCTGTTCCTTTACTGTCTCTAGCCTTGAAAACAGGTTTTCTAAGAACTTTGAAAGACTTAAGAATATGTTCACCCACAAGATTCTAGAGGCCTTATGATGCTGCTCACCTCTTAACAGAGAGGTTCAGGACTCAGTACGGAAGGATATATGTGTATGTATTCATATGTATGCATGTGTGTGTATATGTATATATTACATATAGTAGACTTGGCTAATTAGGAGATGCAAAACTGTCACAAAGGTTTTGTTTTTCTTTCTTCTTCAATGGGGGAGGGGGAAGAAGGGAGAGAGAGAACAGATTTTCATTAATTGAAAAAAAATTAATAAAAAAGAGGTTGTATGTGAGTTTAGATAAGCAATTTCCATCCCGTCCCATCCCTTTCACCCCCTGTAAAGAAATAGTCCCTGGCAGACTTCAGAAAAACCTGGAAAGACTTACATGAACTAATACTGAGAGAAGTGAGCAGAACCGGGAGAACACTGTACTCGGTAACAGCAACATTGTGCAATGACTAACTTTGATAAGACTTAGCCCTTCTCAGCAATGCAAGCATCTAAAACATCTCCAAATGTCTCATGATGGAAAATGCTATCCATATCCAAAGAAAGAACTATGGAGTCTGAATGCAGATCAAAGCATACTACTTGTTCTCTTTTTTTTTTGTTTGTTTCTTCTTTCTCATGGTTCCTCCCATTGGTTCTAATGCTTCTAACACGACTAATGTGAAAATATGTTTAATATGAATGTATATGTACAGCCGATATCAGACTGCATGCCATCTTGGGGAGGGGAGGAGGGAAGGGAGAGGGAGAAAATTTAGAACTCAAAATCTTACGGAAGTCAATGTTGAAAACTAGAAATTAATTAATTTAAAAAAAAAAAAAAGAAAAAAATAGCCCCAGGAAGGAAGGAGCTCAAATCCCAGCTTCATTTGAAGCCTTCTTTACTTTCCTCAAATGGATCCCAAATGCCATGGGCTGATGAAAGTGAGCTCCCTCTCTGTCTCCAGTAAACTGATGGGAAGGAGTAGGGTTATCTGAACAGAATCCAAGAGAATGGGTATGTATGTAAAGGGGGTTAACCCCCCTCTCTAGAGCCAGTCACTGAAGTCTGTAGGCAGGCTGGAACAGCTGGGAATGGGAGGTGAGGGTGAGTGGAAGGGGGCCACTGGACTCTAGGAAAGCAGTGCCAGGTAATTCAATTCAATTCAACCAACTATAAAGACTTCAGGCAGTCTGCCCACCTGCTCTCTGCCAGGCTTGTGCCCAGACTGTTGTCTGCCAGGCTCCATCTGGGCAGCTGACCCAGACTGGTGCTAGGGATTGGGCATCTCTAAGGCCCAATGTGCATCAAGCAGCGCCCTCTGCTGGCCCTACAACACAACAGTTTTCCGGGCATGGCCAGGAGTGACCTCAGTCAGTCAACAAACATTTATTAAGTTTTCACTATAAGCCAGGCACAGAAAACAGGGAAACACAAACCCCGGGCTGGATGTCCAGCCTGTCTTCCTTTAAGAAGCAACTTCTTGCCACTATAACCCTGTCTTATGAGAACACCTATTCCTCCCTCTCCCTCACTGGCCCTCTGGTGCCATGCTCAAAGTTGGGTGGGTAGGCAAATTGAGGGGTACAATCTGCACTCACTACAGGGAGGCCCACAAGGGGGTCATACGTCTTAGTCCAAAGTTAAATGGTAGAATAACGAATGAAATTTAGGTCTCCTGACTGCACTTCTGTCCTTCCCACTATCCCAGGCTCCCAGACCCTTCCCACCCTCCTCCTCAAAACAAGCCTTTACATAACTTCTGCTCTTTGCACTAATAGCATCATCAGGACTGCTGCCTAGTGACTTTTGGGAGCGTCTGTAAAATGAGATCAGACTGGGTGACATCTCCAACTCCTTCCAGCTCTGAATCCCATCAGACCACCTGCTCCTAGGCCCCTACCTGGAGCAACACGGACTAGCAGATTCTCCCCTGCATTCAGACCCTGAGGCCTTTCGGTACAGCTTCCGCCTGTACCCCAGGGAGATGTTGGGGGGTGAGGTGGGATGCCCAGAACAAGAAGCCAAGGTGTGGAATGGAGGGGACCCTCTGGGGCAACACAGGGGCAGTAGCCTGAGGTGGGGGCTAAAGGGCCTTTATTAAGAAACTTCTGTACACTGTACATGATTTGAGGGGCAAGGGATGCTGCACAGAGCTGGGAGACTGGGTCACAGCCCAGGTATAGGGTGCTTTCTCAACCTTGTCCATCTGTTGGCCCTAGTCCCTGGTTCCTTTGAGCTGGGCCCTTCTTCCGCTCCCTGCTCAGCAGGGTCACGAGCTTGGCCTTGAAGCCTGAGTGACCCACGAGGCGCCCGGGCCCATTGTCCTCAGTCTCCTCTGTGCCTTCACCTTCCTCGTTCAGGTCCAACTCGAGTAGCCTGCGGTACTGGGCCTCCAGGGTGCTATCCATGGTGACCTGGGGGCCAGGCCAGCTCAGACACTCACTGTTGTCATAGATGTGGTAGTCCTTATGGCCACCGTGGGAAGCCTGCAGCGGGCACTCCCCCCTTGGCTCAGTGCTGCAGCCATCCTCCAAGGTGCACAGGTTTTCATACAGGTGCTCAGTCACTGGGATAGGCGCTGGAGCTGGAGCTGAGGCTGGATCGGGAGCCGCGCGCAGAGGGCCGCTGGACCACTTAGAGACGGAGGCATAGAGTGCAGAACCTGAAGGGCTGGCCGAGGTGGGCCCATCTGGCAGTGTAGTCCCCAGGCAGGGGGGCAGGCTCTGAGGACCTGCCTCTAGGACTAGCTGGGCCTTTCCATTAGATGGTTGGCCTCCCCAGGCCTCTAGCCCAAAAGGGGCCTCCCGCAACTCTCCCATGGGCTCTAAGGTGGGCAGGGAGGAGGCCCGGGACAAGGGGCAGGGCCGGGAAGCAGCAGGTCCAGGAAGCTCTCTCTGGCGAGCAATAGCTGCCCCCACAGTGCTACAGATCTCCGAGGCCCGAGGGCAGCTGAAGGCAAAGAGGCCCTCACCAGAGTCACAGCGCCGGCCAGCCTCGAAAGAGAAGACTCCCTGTGGGGAGGGAGGCTGGTCAGGTAAAGGCAAGAAGCAGACAGCAATGTAACCCCGGGGTGGGGGGGGAAGAAAGGGGAGGAAAAGCACCTGTATTACAGTCAAAGGACCTGGGTTCAAATCCTGCTTCTGATGCAATTACCTCTCCTTGTGACCCCATTTAGATGGAGTTGGACTAGAACACCCCTAAAGTGACAGCTTTAAATTCACAAGGGTTGGAACACTAGGTTTGGAGGTCCAGAATCATAGGATTTAGAACCAGAAGGGACTTTAGCAATTAGTCTGATCCTTTCATTTTACAGATGAAAAAACTGAGGTCAAGGGAAGATTCGTGACTTGCCCAAAGCCATCCAGATAGTCTGGAGTAGAGGCTGGATTCTCAGCTACTTCCTCTGACTCCAAATCCCCGGGGTTCACTTATCACCAGGCTTTGGAGCAACCCAGGCTAGATTAGATTGGTGGTTAGTGGGTGGGGACTGGGCTGGGAGGGAGAAGGCTATGAATCCATACATACTAAACTAAAGAGTGGCAAAGTGTACTTTCTCCCAAAAAATGGATTATAATAGTACAACTGCTATTCTGTGAGGTAGCAAATTCTGCTAAATTTTTGGATGTTAAAAAGGAGTCTTCATTTTCAAAAAGATTGGACGCCACTAGACTAAACAGTCTTGTAATCCAGCAATAAATCCTATGCTAACATGGGGCTAGGGGCTGGTGATCATGCCCACTCCAACTCTAGAGAGTTCATAGGGAAGTGGGAATAATATCCAGGGGTCCCAGGTTATTGGAGAGGGGAGTGCAGACGGGGTAAGAGTAAGCACCTTGTCGTGGCCAAACTTGCGCAGGAAGTGATAGGGCCAGACGTAGAGGGGCTGCGGAGTGGTGGGCTCGCTCAGGTAGATGGCGTCCTTGCCAGTCACCAGGAGGTAAGGTCCTTTCAGCTGACAGCGAGTGGCCGCCTCGGTCTTCTGGACCAGTACCGAGAACTCACCCACTGCAGAGGGGAGGAAATTAGAAATCAGTGAGAAAGCTTTCAGGCCCATCTCAAAGCCCCTCCCACTCAGTGGTTAGCCAGCCACACCTGAGGTGTCACCAATGGGGATGGGGGTAGAGGGAGCCCAGGCTCAGGATGCTTACTTTCCTGCCAGGATGAATAGATGGAATTTTCCTCCATGGGTACCAGGCCAATCTCAGCAGGTCCAAATTCCCCAGTCCCTGAGGAGATGCCATTCATGCTCTGGAGTTGGGAAGGGCAAGACATGAAGAAGAGGTCAGAGATAGCTCCTAGGGAGACTAGCTTTTGATGGCTACCTTCACACCTCCACACCTCCTCCAGGTAGAGCACCAGGACTACCAGCTTGCTTACACACACACACACACACACACACACACTCCCCTAGTTCATTCTCACCCCACACACACACACACACTCACACTCACACACACACACTCCCCTAGCTCAGTCTCACCCCATCACACACACACACACACACACACACTCCCCTAGTTCAGTCTCACCCCATCACACACACATACTCCCCTAGCTCAGTCTCAC